TGCTTATCTTACTTTGAATTAGTGGTTTATTTTCAAAGAAAGAACTTCTTTCCAAATTATAGAGATTCAAAAATCTCTATAATTAAGAGACTTAATTTTTATTGATTGTTTGGTTTTTAGTAAATATAATACTCATACTTCTGAAAAAAAATAACAGCATTCCTAGGAGCTTTTTCTTTCTAAGCATTACATTCACATTCAGGGCGACATTATGCGCCGTCCGTCCGCTGAAAATTTCAACGTGAACTGTCAAAATTGGCGCGCAGATTTTCGTCACGGCGCATGCGTGCCGAAGTGAGACGGTCTGTTTTTCATCTCGCTTTCACTGAACGAGGTCTGCGGGCCGCGGCTAACCTTCGGCGCGAGGTTTGCGGCGGGAAAAATGTGTGTTTCGGTGTGCCGATAGCGGGGCGCCGCACGCCGCGCCACGCCCAGGCCCGCACGCGCGCGCCGCTAACGCGTCTTGAGCCACTTAGTCGCTAAGACGACGGGCACACTGATATCTGGAGCGTGAATATTACGGAGCGGAAGGATTCCCGCTCTTTGACCCATCGAGACAAAAGACGACAATATTGTAGCCTCTTTTGTTTTCCTGGAAAGATTTCGTGGATAACAGGATATTTCATTTTAAAAGGAAGCATTTATTAAAAAGCTGGAAACATCACACCTAAATCAGGGAAATAGAGAAGATTTTTTGTTTTGATAAGTTCACATCATTATTATTCCTGATTTGGCCTGGCATAGCATCAAAGGTGCTGCACTATGAGGCACATACATTATTACAAATCATCATTATTTATAGCTACCTTTGGATTGGCTTAGGTGTAAGTTTTGGTAAATGCAAGATTATTTTTAAAGATTGCGCTATTGCATATTCTCCTTATGTCTTAAAGAAGCGGAATCTATCTTATTTCCATGAATTGTCCAAAACCTTAATTTGGTTATTTTTCTGCTTATATTTTATAGAATTCCCTTTAACATAGTCCATACTGACTTGACGTGTTTTCTGGATTGTTTTGGGTATTCAGACGTTCAAATTAATTAAAATACAATTACGCGAAGTGAAGGTGCTGTGAACACTGACTTACCTCCTGGCCAGATATGGAGCCGCGAGCTGTCAAAATGGAGTGGGAAAAAAGGCGGGAATGTGGCGCGCTTTATGTGAAGCTCGTCATTGCGCGAGACAGAGAGAGCGCTGCGGAGGCTCTCGTGCGAGCGAGATGTCGAACGCAAAGTGGTTTATAAGAAAACCTAAGACGCTGGGCGTGTTTGGTGGGTGGGCGTACGGGTTTTGAGGTTGTAGTGGTGTGTTGCAAGTGTGTGAGTTGTAAGCGGCCGTGCGGTTAAAGGTGTGTGCGTCGCGGCTACCTAGGTCTCATCCTTTTGTCAACGATACGGCGCTATATCGGCTTCAAGCTTTAGTTATTAAAGTGCGCAGTTAAATTTTATAGCGACGTAAAATTTTCATTGTCGACCGGCCAGTCTCGATCCTTATGCGGCGGCTCTTGGCAGAATACGCGTATTAATTTATTTATTCCAAGAATATTTTTATGCTTTGTAACTTCGAACGCTCCCGTAGACATTGTAGCGGCACGTCTACGGAGCGACTACGAAGCGCTACAACTCATTTTTTGTTCGCAATTATTATTCTTTTACAATGGATCTTAAAGAAGTTATGAAATTCAACTTAGTAAAGTTTTTTTTTAATAAATAGACTTTAACACAACTACATTTCAAAATGACAAAAAATATATTTAGACATTAAACGTAGCAGTTAAATGTTTAAAAAATGTAACAAACTATACTCTTGGCTCAGTGATCTGAAGATTGATTTACTGCAGAGTGTTAAATTTCTCAATCGATTTATATTTACTTTATGAGAACAGATAAATTATATGATTACCTTGATAGTGACCTTAAGCATAAAAGTTATTAATTAATTATCCTAATTGAAATTTGGTTCTTTCCTTAATTTTGTTATTCAGTAAATGAGGTTTATATTAAGAATAAGTACATCTGTCATAGTCTTGTAAATCTGTTAAAAATTACGTCAGATATTTTCGAATAATTTTTATTACCGATCTAGGGAGATGCATAATCTGTCTTTTTCACAGTTAATCGATATTAGTCTTAACTTTGTTGATTTGAATCGTGCAAATTTGAAGACACAAAGTAAAGACTATTAACGGGTTTCCGTTTGCGTCAGATTCTGTAAGAACAAAGACATTTTTCACAGCGGATTCCGCCGACATGACATGAAACTTATTTGAAATACCTGTTCTAATTTTCAATCACACCTCGGAATCTGAGTTAAAAGTGAGTTTGTTCTTACAGAATAACACCGCTGACCTTATGAAATTCAGTAAAAGTATACCTTAATTTGAATCGGTAATAGTAAAGATCCGTGCAAAATTAAGTCCCATTTCTATTTTACCAGCATTGAGTATTTTTTTTGTAAAAATAATGTAAGAACAACTGTTAACTCTTTTTAATATAAATCAACTTTTACGCAAGGTACAGTAGCTTTACTAAGAACCGTTCTATAACTGATACTGGTGCTACTTTTGTATATTTAATGCTTGGGAAATGCACATTCTGAGATTTATTCAAAGCTTTTGATGGCGTAGATCATTAAACTTTGTTGCGTAAAACATTACGGCATAAAAGATGCGACCCAAAAGTTGTCTCAATCATATTTACGACAAGGTAATCAATATCAATTATATTTAACAACAAATAGTTGATATTAATAATATAAAATCAGCCGGCTTTCATGTGAAAAAGGCGTTCCTCTGGGTTCCATTTTAGGTCCATTTCTTTTTTAATATATATTAATGATTTACTGTTCTCTGTACAAATGCAAAAAGAAAGAAGTAGAAATAAATAAAAAACAGCCTCTGCTGAGTTTCTTTGTTATTCTTTACAGTGAAAGAACCGAGGGCAACAGGTGCTTGTAACAACCTAGACTGAATAAATAATTAAATTTTGAATTCGAATATAGAATCTATATTCTAATTAAGTAATTATTCTAATTATAAATGATAACGCAGTGAAAGATTTTTCATTGGACATAAAACATAATGAAAAAAAATGTTTTCTAGGTACGTCAGCATACGAATACCGTGGACCCAATACAAGTAACAGTACTGAGTATGTTGAGGGAGGATATGAAGTCACTCTACTACGTTACCTGTAATAATTTGTATGTTGTTGAAGTCTTCTAGCGCCATAACTATGCACTACTAGAGTCATCAAAATACACTACTAGTGCCATCAATATACACACTTATTTTATAAATTAAGTTAGCAAACCACTCACTGATATTAAATGATGGGTACTTTATTTACTCTCTATCAATTTTTAAAATCACTCCAAAATTGTATGTATTAGTTTTATATCAAATAATTCTGAGTGACTAGAAGTTATATTTATACTATAAAAGAATACTAGTATTAGCCTTATGCTTAACAAGATGGGCTCGTATTTTCCTTAGCAGTGCTTTTTTGTAAGAACAAACAAGGAACAAACTCACTTTTCGCCGCGGAATCCGCGGTATGATTTGAAATAAGAAATCAAATTATAATATCAAATTTTAAATCACACGCGGATTCCGCGGCGAAAAGTAAGTTTGTTCTTATAATATTCTATCGGCACTGCAGTATTCTACGCCGTCTAAGCCCAACCATATCCAGCCAATTCAAGTTCAAACCAGAGCATATAAATGTATATTATATGTGTATGTATAGATCCATTATAGGATGCTTGTTTTTCAGTATATGGCGCTCATCGAATAATATAATTATGATTTTGCGCAAACCTGGTGCTTGATTTACCCACGGAGTGTCAATGCACTGTGTAGCCATCATTGATTTTCTTTTTCAAATAGTTGGTGATTAGTTCTTTTACCATCAGCTCATTTCAGAATTTCAATTTAGAAACATACGAGGCTTTTCTTACTAGCACTTTTACGCATATAGTTTATCACCTGGAATGAAAAGAATACTTTTTATCTCGGAAAATCTCAGGTTCTTGTGGGATTCTCAAAAAACTAAGTTAACGCGGACGAAGTCACGGGCGGCCGCTAGTATAAAATAAAACCTTGATGCCTAACAATCGTACAAACGACCACATTTTACTCCGATAGAACATCACTGGTAATAAATATATGTACATAGATCGAGAAACAGTGGTAATTTGGTCGTGTCGAGCGCTGGTAGCTGTAGCTACTGCAACGTGTCGAATATCTGTGTTGAAGGTTTGACAAAGCGATCAATCTGTGTCAATCAATTATTTTTTGGTAGAAATACATCTTACGATGGTAATGGACTCATATCACCAAAATAATATTATCATTATTAATTGAGTAACACTCTTATTAAAATTTTTGTTTCTTTTCCGGTCCCTGTATAATTGTATATGAATTTTTATTTTATTTTAATTCTGCTATATAGTAATTTCTGATATGTTAACAATAACTGAAAATAAAATATATATCTTATCGTCTGATTAACAGTTATATTGATTTACGTACTTTACTAGTACCTTGTTAAAATTAATATTTGTATTTTTTCAGTCCTACAAAGTAACATACTTCGTTTGTATATAATTTAAAGTACAAATATATTACATATTGCTAAAGTTATTCGGCCTCAGATCAGCCGCCTCCTTACTCCCTGATCCAAGATAACAAGAGGACGAATATCCAAGCCGGGCATTTTATTCCGGAATAGTTTAGGTAGAGAATTTCTCATGTACGGCGTCATATGGGAGGCGTTAGACGTTTCGCTGCTTGTCCCGCACCTAACTATCTCTTTTAATACTTATTTGTACCCTGGCACCCACACAGCGACGTGCTTCCCCCCGTGTCGCGTCGATGCAGCGTTTGGCTGTGTGCGCGGACTTCTTTCGCCTGCCCCTGTGTGCGGGAGAATTTCTTTCGAGACGTAATAAGGGGACCGTTTCTTTCCCGCTAAGGTTTTAATGTCGACCACGTTTCGGTGGCGGACGCGCGCGCCTCTCGCGGTTAGTGGCGGAACTTTACTTTTTCTTCTTTTTTTAAATTCAGTGCATTGGTCTCTGTGCTTTGGTGGTCGGGGTGGATTTTTTTGTAACAATACTTTTTAGAGGTACGATTCTTAAAATTTTCTTCCTAACATTTTCTTCTACTTTTAGTGTGTTCTTGTTAAAGTTTTCACGTCTTTAAGTATTCTTTAATTGAATGTGGCTGTGTGGTGAGAAAAGGTGGAAAATTAATTAAGGAAAGTTCGTTTAAGTTGCGAAGTAAAGTTGTTAGGCGAACGGCGGGCGCGACGCACACTTGCGTGTTGTTTCCAAAACCGCAGGCTCGTTAGCCCGAGAGCACACTACGCCGCGGCGATTAAACTTCAAAGATAACGCCGTTGATTGTGATAAGATAGTACTGAAAGCGATTTTGGCGATTAGTTTTGGTTTGGACTAAACTTGTTTTCATAAAGATAATTCGAGTATGATCAATTATGAATATAGGTGAGCTTACAACATTTCTTTATTTTTAAGTAAGAATAATGATTGTCTTTTAAATCCCAAAACATTTATGAAAAACAAGTCTTTATTAAATAATAGAACAGGAATTATTTACAAATACTTCTTCTTATGCATTGTATTATTTTAAATATTAAATGGAATTCTTAAAAGAAACCTCTAGATGGTAATTGTTTTTTTAGTTACACACATACATTATATAGAAATATTCGAAAAATAACTACCTATTTTAATTATTATTTTTTTCTACCAAAACTATACAAAGTTAGGATTATACTAGATTTATTTATTATTTACGTAAATCAAATATGAATGAGAAATGGTCATCTTGTATTTAGGATGTTTATATTTTTGTTGGGGAAATTTCTAAATGGAACTTAAAATTAGAAAAGTTTTATTGCGCTTTATAAGGTCTTATACTATTATATTTATTTTACGCTTTATAAGGTCTTATATTATAAATTATATAAGGTACAAATTATTTAAGCTTCATGATGGGACATAACAATATCGATCTTATAACTAATGTCGTAAGGCTTAATTCCACTGATAGGTGAGTAAATGCGCACATTATAGTTATTTGTAAAGGTTAATTAAATAAATAAATAAATATTTTTAACACTCACACCAATTAGCCTAGCCCCAAAGTAAGTACTATAAGGCTTGTGTTATGGGATACAAGGGTAAAGGATAGAATATTAAAATTGAATTTATAAAATATTTAAAAACGTATTTTTTATTCACTAATTTACTTTTTTATATTATTTAAATATACCCTGCGAATTAACGTTTAAGTTATCCTAGACGGGCATAGGGACAAAAAGTATGACCTACAATATGCTTTGTTCACGCTTACTGATAAAATATTCTTTTGACTGTCCACACAGATAAAAAAAACACTTATAAAAGCACACCTCACAAAGTATTTTTGGCAACTTCTTTCCAATCCCACCTACTTTGTTCTTTCTATTAATATTTTCTGAATCCGATACTTATTTGAACTCTATATCAATGCTGAGAAGCGTATTATAAAACAATTATCGTCACACTCATTTAGCAGTGTTTCACGTGGGCGCCTTGGAAGCGGTAACTTGTTAAAAAGTAGGTGTGAACTGCCATTAGGGCGCCCGCCCCAACTTTCTGTTTAATTGTGACCGTGCGTGCGTGCCCTTAGCTACTCCTGTGACCGAGTGTAACTTTGCCTTTCATCTTAGAAATGTTACATTCCAATTTTAAAACTAAAAAATAAATAAGAAAATAATAAAAAGAAAACTTTAATTTGTAAGAATCGAGCCCTTTACTGCTTCTTTGGCATTCTTCCTGAATACGTGAATGTAACCTTGCCTTTCTTTAATAAGTTACACTAAATAAAAATAATAAGCTCATGTAGTGGAGCGCTTGGGGGTATAGACCTCAGACTTTTGCTACAGTGAATAAATTTTTATGGTTGAAACGGAATTATGTTTTTAATTTTAACGCCCCGGGAGCTACACTACTATTTGAAAATAAGAAGAGTTTGGTTTGTAACAGTTTATTGTCTTATGTTTCGGAATTAGAAATTGAGTTTAGTTAAAACTTAATGCTGATAATATATTCGGTAAATAAATTATGTTTTTTTTTATCAAAGCCGTATAATATATGGTTATGCGTATTTTTTATAAAGTAATAAATTAAAATGTAATAAATATTATGTCAATAATAGTCAATGTTAGTATTAAACCATTGTGTTATAACTGAAATGTTTAAAGCAAAAATAACTAGAACTGAACCGTTTACAATTATGTACTATTGCATGCTTCTTAACAAATTCATATTTACAATTTAGGCATAGTTCATAATAATATTTTTGTGCTACTGGTCGCAGTCAATAATAATTTAGTGTGCACGGACTACACATCTAAGGTGAAACTTCTTTTCACAAATAACCTAATATAAAAATAATATATATATAAATAAACCTATAAAATATTAGGCGGTGCATAAGGCATAGGGGAATGGAGCAGCGCACGAATCACTCGTAGTGTTTCAGCCTTCGTCGAGTTACCCTCCAACTTTCATGCTCGTCGGGAAGAGCTGCGCACGCATCCCACACACACACACACTCCATATATAGTCATGTGACACTCGTGAAGTATTTCCGTTTCATCTTTTCCATAGGTATTTTCCATTTTCACCCCATCCGAGGAGAAGTATACTCGGACTAATAATCCACTGCGCCCAATTGTAACAGCTTAATATAAAAACACTAGCGGCCACCCGCGACTTCGTCTGCGTTAAATTTTGTATTTGTAGAATCACTAAGAAACCTCCCATTTTACATCATCATTCATAAAGGTATTCTATGACTAATTCTACGTCATAAACTATATGTGTACCCGATTTCACTCAAATTCTTTTTTGCGTGATTGAGTAACAAACATACAAAGGCGCTTTTCTTGCCAGATCGTTTCGTTTCTGTACTGAATCGGTACAGATTTTTTAAGTGAAACTTCTTTACGCACGCTTGACTTGAGGGATAAACTGGCGAATGTGTTACGCGTTACGAAAAGTGTGTTCGGGCGAGGTGAACGGGAGTTCAGTGGAGGATATAAGCTAGAGAAAGCAGTGCGCGCGCACATTTTCTTTCTCTCTTTGTGTTATAGATATTAAATAAAAAAAAATATGTATATATATACATGTATATATTGTACACACATATATATATACATACAGATGGAGCTAAACAAGTTTCGCTTCAGTCGTGTGGTCATAAGCACACTCGTTTTTTTACCGAGAACTGCACCTATCCCGTGAAAAAGACGCCAAAAAGACACACCCACACACATATAAATTGAATTGAATTTGAAACGGCAGTCTGTCATTTTTATCGCGTAAAGGACTTAAAGTCAAATACGAGATCGAAGTTAATTTTAATCTCAGCTCAGCAGCTACAAATCGGAGTTATAATAATGCCGCGAGGGGGATCGCGCTAAAGGTAATTCCTTTGTTTGTCGCCGGTTAAATTCCAAGATTTCGTTATCGTACTTCCAATAATTTTTAGTGGAATTTTATTCATGTAACTTACCAGCAGAATAGGCTCAATTATTTGATGTTTACTTTTATTTATAAGTTTGCAATAAATTCTAATACTAAATATATATTAAGTTTCTAGTATTATCATTACTAGTGGTCACGACCTCCGTGGCCGAGTGGTTTGTACACCGGGTGTCATGGTGTCGCTTACTCGAGAGGTCTATGATATTATTTATCATAAATACACAATATTTGTTACAAACTTGAATTACTACATTCATTATAGATGAAGTAATATAAAGTCAAAATATAAGTAACATAAAAAGTATTAATGCATATGGGACGACTTTTCACACAATAATTTACAAGAACATCTAAAAGATCTAAACCTTAGTCCCTTATTAATAAATGAAGACTAAGCTTGGATTAGTTACTCCTTCATTGAATAACAAATGGCACTTGAGTGATATGAACAAAACACGGCGTAACTAGTCTAAGTTTATTCTTCGTTTATTAAAAAGGGGGTAGGAAATTAAATAAACCAAAATAAGCTTTATAAAAGTTTGGTTAATAAATAGGCAGTTCGTTAGTTATGGAGACTAAATATTTCATTCTTATTAAACAATTTGGTGAAATCCGTCAAGAACTTTTAAAATCTTTAATATCTGTCATCATACACACGATCAGATAAATATAGAAAGCTTTTCGTGTATGGACTATATGACATATACGTGTGTGTTCTATATTTGTATGAATAAAAAAATGGATGCGTGTAACTTATGTACGCGCGTGAGAAGTTATACTTCTTTAGCATCATTAAAAATATTTTTTAATTGCATGCAAATAATTAATAATTACAATGAAATAATAAAAGGACTGGAAAAGGATAGTTAACACAGTCAATTAAGTTCAGTTTTAGTTTGAAAAATTAAATAAATATTCAAAATATTCAATTAAAATCACTACTGAATTTAAGTTATTAGTCCATATGTAATTAGCACTTGTAAGTAACTAAAACACGTTGTGTCTATATAGAAACTAGAAACATGTGGATAAATATTATAAATATGAAAACAGTGATCAGAGGCGACGAGCGTGCCAACATTGTTTTTGACAACGCGATCATCTTATGGAGCTCCGTGGATCGTTCAAAGTACCTTTCGAACAGATCCACCATTATTAAACACTAACATTCATAACGCGCCCGCGGCCAACTTCATGGTGTTACTATTGTGTTACAGTGATGCGCGCGCATCTCGAAATTTCACTCACATGATTTTTTCATAACGCGCCCGCGGCCAACTTCATGCTGTTACTTTTGGGTTACAGTGATGCGCGCGCATCTAAAAATTTCACTCTCATCATTTTTTCATAACGCGCCTAAAGAAGTATAACTTCAATAAAATAAATAAATAATAATGCAGCTGTTACATGTTTCAAATAATCTTTATATAAAAATGAGTCCATATTGCCCTTTGCTACGCCATAACTTTTAAGAACGACTTTTCCATATTTTTTTGGGTTTGCAACAACTTCACCGACTTAATGTGTTTTTTAATGTTTTAAAGTTAATATTTTTTTATGGAAATTAATA